GAGAAGCTGTGGCTGCTCCTCCCTGGAAGTGTTCTTGGCCAGGCTGGATGAGGCTTTGAGCAACCTGGTCTAGTGGAAGGTGTCCCTGCTGCTGGCAGGGGGGTTGGAACTGGATGAGCTTTGAGGTCTCTTCCAACCCAAACCAGTCTGGGATTAAATGACTGCAGTGTCCAGCTGGGTTTCCTGACTTGTTGAAGAGCAAAAAACATGTTTTTTGGAAAACAGGCTGAACTTGTTTATCTGACTTTGCCTTACCAAGCATTTAATAATTCTGGTGACGGGTTGAAAAGAAGAATTTATCGACTTATAAGTGACGTAATGTCAGAATTCTCTGTTGTTCGCTTTCTGCTCTAAGGTAGCTCTTAGTGTGCTGTCTTGATTGCTACTTTATTCCATGTGATTGATAAGTATTGATCCCACTGGCTCTACTTGGCTGCCAGTGTCATCTTGAAACATCAGATGTCTGCCCCAGTGCTTTGTTTATTGTGCTGGTTCACTGCTGAGGTTTTCTTGGACTTTGAAAATCTATTTCTCAGATCTGTCTCGATATCTTTACTAGAGCTGTTTGGGCTGATCAGGAGTGACTGCTCCTGTAGAAATAAATCGACTTGACTTGCATTTTGGTGTTTCTAGGTGTAGTGCTTGTATTACTTAGGGTGTGGGCCCTGAACAAACAGGTACAGTGCCCCTGCTCTCCATGCATCCAGATCCTACTTTTTCTTTAAGGTTCTTAACAATTATTGGCATCTGGCGAATCTTACTGGGGTGTCAAACCATTGCTGCCTGTGCCCAACTTCCTCCCACCCCAGTATGAGACCAGTTTAGACACAAGTGAATAGAAAGGGTCGTGGCTTCAGCTGCCCCGAGACCTCGATCATCGTGACAAGGGAGAGCCTGTGGTCTGTGCTGACTGCGGTGGAGGTGGCCGCTCTGGCAAGGAGCAGGAGATAACCAGCCTCAGCAAACACTTTGAGGGTGTCTGCACATCCCTCATTTCGCGCTGGTCGCTGTCGATGCAGGTCATGTCTGGTTCCACGTCGCTCCCTTCTGATATTTGTGTCTGAAGTATCTCACGTGAGGTACCGTGCGGCCTCGGAGAGTTCTGGGGTTGTGGCTTAGTTCTGTGCTTCTGTGCAGTTCTTCAGAACCTTATGTTCTAAAAGGATCTAAGAGGACTCTTATGGATCTAAAACCCATTGAAGTTTCCTAATTCTTAGTTTTGAGGGGTGCTCTCATCAAATACAGATGGCTCTGCAGAAGAGATTGTCAAGGATGATCTTAGGGTACTTGGAGGTAGATGTTCAGATAGACTTTTTTATTCAAGATAAGCATATACTCATAATTCTTTAATGGAATTCAGCTCCACAAAGTGAAAATGCTAGTGTCTTGAGGATGGTGTTTGTTACAGTTTTTTTCTTCAGAAAATAGGTTTCTGTTTCAAAAACATTGTATACTCTCATCATGATAAAGACTTCCTGATCGTTTCCTTGATGTTCCCCCACCACACACTACATGGACAGTTTTACTGTGAATCTTGTCTTCAGAGATGCTTTCTTGAAGTGTCTCGATTTGTTAGAGGCTCTTCAGACAGTTTATGGTGGATCCCTTTTCTTAGGCATGGAGCTGTGGATTCTTGTGCCTCTCCAGATCCCAGGTGACATTAAGCACTAACTCAGGATTTCACTGGACTTTAAAAGAGTCTCCAGAACAGAACTTTCAACCCTGTTTTCTTTTGAGCTGCTGTCCAGGTGTTTCCAAATAAAATGCCTTCCTTATTTTGCCTTCCTTAGCATGCCTGTGAGCAGGAGGGCAGGGGATGCAGATCTGAAAACGTGTCTCATGTCATGTTCCCTGTGTGTGCCCGTAAGCGATGAAAGCTCTCTGCAGAAGCAGAGCGAGCGCCTGCAGCTCTTCATTTGTGTCATCGCTCAAAAGGTAAACACAAGGCAGCACGGGAATGTGCTGTCCTGCTCTATTGCAGGGCTCCTACAGAGTGTTCACGTGGCTTGGGTTGAAGTTTGCAAACTCTGTGCTACCTTTACGGTATACAACAGCGCGGTTTTGGCAGTGAATTTTCTTCCTAAAAACACAGAGGTGAGTTTTGGCCGGTCCTTGCAGAACCTGTGGGGTAATTCCGCAGCTGAGATGCTGCGTGACATACCACAAAGCAGGGATCCTGACAGCATTTTGACACCCAGCTCTGTTGTGAAACTCCTGTTCATGCTCAAAGAAGTGACCGTGTCTCAGCCTTGCAGTTGGGTGAGATGGGACAGCAGCCCAACCAGCAGGACTTGGAAGTTGCAGCTGGAAGACCTCGGTGGTAGATCTGAGCCCACTTTGGACTGGGGCATTGTGGAGCAGGAGATCACCAGTATATAGGGGGCCTGGATTCAGCATTCAGATTCTCAGCATCTTTGTTTCAGGAGGACTTGGGTTCTGTCTTGTCTGTCTGTCCAGACACGTTAGCTGAGGTAGAGGTGGGGTGCGGGCAGTGTGGTGGGCCAGTTGTTGCCCACCTGCTTTTCTTTCTGTCCTGGGTGATGTATGTCAGCAGAATAGCTTCCACAAGAGGGAGTTTCATTTCAGAACATCCTCAGGCCTCGCTTCTACAACAGGTGCCTGAATCTAATGCTTGTTTTCTCTGGTTATACCCTCTCTGCAGGCTTCCCCAGGAGGCAGGAGTGCTTCTCGTGCGGCTGTGGGTGAGGAAGCTTAAGGCGTTCCTTAGGAAGTTAGTGTGAAATGCGCTCTCTTGAGTTGTTGTACCACCTAGATCATGCTGCCTGCTGAAGTCTGTTGTGGAGCTTATATTTCTTCTGCAGATTTCCTTAATGATAAGGAAGGTGTGTGCCTCCTTGCCAGGTTCAGCAATTTCGTAGTAAGTTTCTTTATCCAGGAGAGCTTAGGAGTCATATTGAGCGGAACCAGCTGTACGTCTGTTATTACTTCAGTAACACATGAGAGTTTTTTCTGATGTGAAACTACTGGGCTGGAAACACCTAGTTACAAAGGAGAAGCTGAAGAGGCCTGTGGGAGGCTTCTGTCAGTTCTCACAGAGCTCTACAGACAAACAAGGACAGAGTTATCGCAGCGGATGAGTGTGGTCATCCTGAATTCTGCATGGTGAATGTTAAGGTCAGCAGTGCGTGGCTGATCTCTGACCGGTGCCTCTCGAGGCTGAGAACGTTGCCTGCAGGCAGAGGTGCTGCTTCCTCAGAGTCTGAAGGAGGCACTTGCAGAGGTCAGCATCCTTGCCTGCCTTCTCTGGCTACTTCTCTAGTTCTGGCTGGAATTGTTCTCTAGAGGTTTCTGTGGCTTCTCACTGCCTATGAAAGGAGGTTTTGAAGACAAGCTGTTTACTGCCATAAAGCCTGCCTGAGCAGATACCACAGTTTTCCTTGCTTTGCCTCTTTCTCTGCCACAACATGCTTGATCAGGCCGTGATTCTTGTCCTTCATCAATCTTATCCTAAATAGTTTGTAATCTGATTAGCCACAGAGAAGCATTATCCCTGCTTTACAGATAGGAAACCAAAGTTTAGCTGTGGTCTGAGGATATCCACCCCCCATTAGGTGTCATTTGACTGAAGGCACCACTAACATGGTACTAGTGAATATGGGTATGAAATAACCCTCACACCGATTCTGTAGTTCCCTACCAAAAAAAAAGGGGGGGGGGGGGAAGTGAAAAGGTGACTAACTAAGAAAAGAAACAAAATTATTTTGTACTTTTCTCCAGGGGGGGAAAAAAAACAAGTTTGTTTATGTATAAAACCCCTCTAGACTTAGCTGCAGTAAGATGGTGGCATGACTGTTTGTAGGATTTCTGTAAAACTCTGCTAACATTGAGGGTTTCTTTCTCCCCTTAAAGGAAGATGTAGATTCTTTTATGAAACAGCCTGGAAATGAGACAGCAGATGTAGTTCTTAAGAAGTTGGATGAGCAGTATCAGAAGTATAAATTTTTGGAACTTAATCTTGCTCAAAAGAAAAGGAGGTAAGTCATATTTTGTGCAGAATTGAGAAATGTTTAGCATGGTTCTATATTTTTAAAAATAAGCCTAAAAATAAGGCTATTTTTAAAATATCCAAAGAAGTAAAAAGTTGATGTTAGGAGAGCTAATACTTGCAGTACTTTCAGGAAAGCCCAGCTTTTTCTTTCCTCTTCCTTAGAATTACATGCAAAAGAATTTACAGTGTTGCTGAACTGGTCCTTAGCCTTTAAGGTGAAAAGGTACCCGCTGCAGTGTAAATAAGAAGGGGTTTTGTTAAATGACAGCTCTATCGAGCCCGTAACTTTTTGTTCAGTATTCTGATCTCTCTTCAGTAGCCTCTGTTTGATCTGAAGCTAGGCAAAAGCTAAAATGAAAGCTTCAAGTAATATTTTATTGAGATTAAGCTTCTTTTGTGGACCAGTACCCCTCGTAAGTTCCGCCTGGAGGCTGCTCTGGCAGTCCCTGTGTCTGAGCCTGCTGCTGCGGGGGCTGTCGAGGTGGGGAATGCCCTGAACTCTGGAGAGAGCTTTCGTTTTAACAGCGCCAAGTCTTGTAGCTCTGAACTGTTTGTTAGAATAGTTTGTGGGCCTCAGAAGAAACACACTTGTTTTGTTTTACCTACAGGTTTTTTTAATCTGAATTTCTGCTGAGGTTTCTCTCTCCTCCAAAGAGATCAGAAATGTAAAAAAAATATGCAGCAAATAGGGATCTGTTACTGTTAAGATGTGTTTGTTCCAGTTTGAAAGCTGTATGCATTGCTCTGCTTCAGAAAACCAGCCAGCCTCAGTGTGGTAAGAGGCAGGTGAAGCGGTAGCTGAGCTGTCTTTACATGCCATATCTCTCACATCTGCATTTGTAAGCCTGGAAAGCTGTTATGAGTTTCAGAGTTTGAAAATGGAGGTTGGATTGTGTAGTAAAACTGATCACTTGTTTAGGAAACTTTGTGTCTCTGTAAAATAATAAATTATGACTGTTGTTAATTCACAGGCTAAAAAGTCAGATTCCTGAAATTAAACAGACATTAGAAATTTTAAAACACATGCAGAAGAAAAAGGTAAACTTATTTTGAATATCTAATGAGTATGAGAAAAGCTAACTACCTTTCCACCCTAACAGAACACATTGCAAGAAATGTTTTGGAGAGCACACTTAATATGCCTTTATAAATAACAGAATTGTTTTTAAAGGTATGTAGTACTTTTTGAAAGCTAGTTCAAAAAAAGTTAATGTTTTTAATGCAGACTTCACTTTTAATAGCGTATAGAATGCAGCTAAGCTTTGACTTCAGCTGTTCTTTATAGAGATTTCTATATTGTTCTCAAATATATCTTTTTTGAACGCTTTATTCTTGGAGCTCTAACTTGAATGTTGAAGTAAAATTACGTAGTGTTCCACTGAAGTTAATACTGTATCGATGGCAAAAAGCAGAAAAGTGTGCTCTTTACTCAAGTTTTATGTCTTTGGCATAAGTTTCCAGTGAAAATAGCAATTTAAGTTTTATTATTTGTCTTAAGGATTCCACAAATCCAATGGAAACCAGATTTTTATTGGCAGATAATCTCTACTGCAAAGCTTCAGTTCCTCCTACAGATAAAGTTTGTTTGTGGTTGGGGGTAAGTAAAATGGAACTTTCTCTGAAACTGTTTAAATAACTTACAAAAGGCTTCTGACAGGCAGTGCTTGCTGCTGTCTGCTCTGTACTGCTGGTGGCTTTGGGCATTCATTCTGCTGTGTGTGCGTGGTGGAGCTGTGTCCTGTCAGCAGGGCAAGCCTGAGAAGACAATTTCAGTGTGTTAGTGAAGGTTTCATGTTCGATTTTATTTGGTGCCTGAACAGTAAAACTTCAGAGAATTGTAATTTTGCTGGATTATTCTTCACAAGAAGCGTGTTCATTAATGTTTTCCTTATCTCTTCTATCGCTTGGTGGTTCAAATTACTCCCCAGCATTGCCTGGGATGGGAAAGTGCCCAGCAAAATAACTTAGTTGGCAACTAGCTTCCCATCCTCTCTCTGTTATTTGCATTTAGCATCGTGCTTTCCCTTTCCATGCGCATTTTTAGGGAAAGGTGGGATTTCTGTTACTCACAGCCAGCATTAAAGTAGAATTTGTGCTAAAGACTGGTGGGATCAGAGCTCAAACCACAGATTTCTAAGTACTTAAGCGATATCAGGTTGGGATATTTTGTATTCAGAGGCTTCCTTATATGTGGAGATAACCTGCTAATGTTTATTTTGAGACTTCTAAATCCCGTATGTTCCCAAATCCCTGTGTTGGCTGCCAAATAAAACCACTTGGTTTGGACAGAAAGGTTGACACGTGCAGCATCCGGACTGATTGGGCAGTTACTCCCAACCTCTCCCACTTCTTTTCTATCATAAACAGAGAAGATTTGTCTGATACCTGTTGCTTTTAGGAGACTGTCTTCAGAATTCACAAACATTGACTTTCATGGAGCATCCCAGGTTTATTTTGTAACAGAATATCAGGGAAAATTCATCCTATTGACAGTTCATACAGAAAATATAATCAGTATATAATGCCACAAGCAATTTATTATATTTAGGTGTTCTGGGCCTTCTGCCTTGATTCTCCTTGTTGCTTGCAGTCCGCGTGTTGGGCTGTGTGTATTACCGTTACTGGGGAAGCGATGTCTCCCAGTTATTGTAAGAGAAGACTGGCTGGTCTCACTCTTGCAGCTCTCTGTAGCATTCCCTGGGATCATGCCTGGTTGGTAGTACATGGCTCTGCTCAGTGCATGGTTCTTGAGTGGTCCAAAGCTTCATTGGTGCCTCTTCACTTGATACTGCTCTTCTATCTCTTCGTGTGGTAGCTCCTTACTGAAATAAAGACTTGTAGATTGAAAACCGCCAGGGACAGGATAGGATTTTTATAGACATTGTATCTCGAAATACCCATAAGACTTCTTGTTAATGACCACTGCCATTGGGCTGCTTGTCAGTGATCCACACAGAGAGATCCCAAGGTTAATCTTGAATGCAACAAAAATTGTTTCTAGAGTTGTGTGACACTTGGAAGGTGCTGCTAAGAAACGTGAAGTCCCTCACTTTTCAGATAAGGTGAAGATGAGATACTGAAAGGCTGAGTGCAGTCCACAGGGAGAGGGATCCCTTGCTCGTAGCTGTAGGAGGAGAACGTTAATTTTAAGTCACTAGAGGGATTTATTACTGAGTTACTGAGCGGTGGGGGCCTCAGGTGGATTCTGGCTTTGCTCGCCCTGAATCTTCTTGTCTTGGCCTGTCAAGGACAGCCTTTTGTTAACCTCATAAGTTATAAGCAACAGCCTGAAATAAGCCTGCTATGGCTTATTCCTTACAACGCCAGAGGAAAAACTTTTCTCAATCTTTCTTTTTTTAGGCCAATGTGATGCTTGAATATGATATTGATGAAGCTCAGGCTCTGTTAGAGAAGAATTTGTCAACAGCCACAAGAAACCTCGATCTTCTAGAGGAAGACCTGGATTTCCTTAGAGATCAGTTCACCACTACAGAAGTCAGTATCCTTTTTTAAAATTATTTTTTATTTTATTTGAGAAGCAAGAGGCGTATGTGAAGCTAACATACAGGTAATTCCCAGTTTCTTGACATGTTTTGATCTTAGACTGGCTGCCCTTGAAATTCTGTAGCACTGGAAGAGCTTTTCTAAAAGGGAAAGGGAACACTGTTTCCAGTGCTGCGCTGAGGGTTGGTGTGTTAGATGTAGCAAAGCTTATGTTTGAGTTTGGTTCCCGGAAACCCAGGGCGGTGGTGGCAAACCGAGACTGGAAGCGAGTTGGAAGTGTGGATGGGTGCTGAGGGTTGGCAGCCAGGAGGCCATTTCCAAGCAAAGCGACTCTCCCTTCCTCTCTAGAGCATCAGAATGTTGTTCTTCAGGCTATTGCTGGTCATTGCAATGTTCTCCGAGCAATACCAGCCCTGCTGCAGCGAGCTTGCTGCTCGCTTAGGCGTCACTTAGTTTTTTTCCTTATACATGAACTGCCTCCAGGGGTGTGGGGATATTTTTTTATACTTAGAAGCTGTTTTAATGATGAGGCCAGCCATCAGCTGGAGTATCCGATTTAGTAAATGATGACACCACTACTTGTTTTTTAAAACCGATACCCAAGATCTCTTAGTGCTGCAGGAAGTTGTGGGTGCCTGAAATAGGCAAATCCAACTGATACGGGCAGGTGGACTGAAATCAGAAAAGAGCAGCTGTAATTAAAACTAAAAGTGTCTTTCTCTGCAATATCGTTTTGGAGGGTTTTAAGTAAATGCTGTAAATGCTGCAGTCATTAACAGTTACTAGTATATTCCTGTAACTTTGGCTTTGCACCAAATTAGCTCTTTCATTAAATGGTTTCTGTATTGACAAGTTACAAGTAAATGGAGGATGTGTGGGCAACTATATCACTTGCTTTTAATTTTTTTTTTTTTTCCCTGAATGCATGTGCTATTTCCTTAATTCCACACCCTCAGATATGGCTAGAGTTTATAATTGGGATGTAAAGAGAAGAAACAAGCAAGACCCTTCCAAAAACAAAGCATAGTTTTGCCAATTTTAAATGTGGTTTCAATTTCCAAATATTTTTTATTTAAACACCCCCAAAGTTCATTCTTAAGGGACTGAGTTACTTTAAGCATTTCAGTAAATGGTAAAAATATATAAAAACTAATGGTGAGCACCATTTTATTTATTCGTAAACTCAAAATTTGGATTCATGCATGCTTCATGAGATGAACTATTTCAAAAGGCACCACGTGGTCCAGCAAAGGACAAGGTATTCTGATCAGACCCGTCTGTCATTAATAAATTTCTACCTGAAAGCTTGTCTGAAAAGTTGAGGGGCATGTATGGAATGGGGTGTGACATTTTGGCAGGTTAAGGTGATGCAGGGCTTTACTTTTTCATCTCTGTGTACAGCTGATGAAGTTAAAGTCGACTTGGGCTGGGAAGACATGCAGCTGTAATGTTCTGGCAAACAGAAAAAACACAGTGAAGTCTTGGATTTTGTTTCAGTCAGTTAACTGGCAGCATCAGCCTGCAAGCATTCCTGGCTGCCCACTTGGGATAAAGGCGTTTTTAGTAGTGAGTGGTTAGTCAGCTGCCTGCTACGGAACTCTCAGCACTTTACAAATAACAGTTTGTGACTTGTCTTCAGAGAGGAGCGGTAAATGGAGTGAACAGCACAAGCAATGTTGAGCCTGCAGGTGATCTCACCCCGTTCTTTTTCATACATGTGCACACACTGCTTTTTTTTTTCCCCAAATGCATTGAACAAGGACCCCGAAATGCTGACAGCCTATAAACGAGAAGCCCCTTATTTACGATCCCTTAGGCAAGATGTCCAGTTCAAATGTCTTAACACTCTCAGCCTCCCAGGTGGTGAAACCTGTATTAGGTCAGGATGGCTCACTGAAACATGACTTCTGGTGTTAGTTGGAATATTTTTTTGGTTCTTACAAAGCCTTGCAAGATTGTTGCCTTTTACCTCTGCAGTTTCTTTCTAAAATGAAATGCTCAGTGGTGATGTCAGTGGCTAATATTCACATTCTGTGATTGAGAATACAGGTTTTGCTGCAAAATAAATGCAAATGTTAACTGTTTGATCTTCGTGTAAGAAACAATATACCTGTAAATTTTTTTGTACTTTTATTTCATGATATTAAAATAGTAAAACTAAACAGTTGTGGCAAACACCTCGTTTTGTCCATCTTTCTTTGTGGAAGAAAGTCAGGAATCTGATGTGTGGTCTTTGATAATGTTTCCCTCCCTTGACTGGGGGCAGTGAGGTGAAAAAATTCAGTTGAGGCCACAGACATGAAAAGCTGTAGCTGCTGAATACCGGCTAGAGTGACATGGGGAAGGCGAGTCAGCGCATCTGAGCTGTGAACAGGAGTGACTGATGGGACAGCGCGGTGGCTGTGAACGAGCAGGAGTTGCGGGGATGGGCCCACAGCAGGTCAGTCCTTGCCAGCGCTCGCAGGTAAGTACCCGGGCTCGGCGCGTCCCTCCCTTCCCCACAGGACGATGCTGTTGGTCTTTCACTGCAGCAGAGAAATGTTTAGATCTGATGTGTGATTTGAGTGGCAGGTCCCTGCCCGCAGCACGGGGGGCTGCTCACACCGCAGGCTGCTTCTCTCCCTTCCTGAGAGCATCAGCAGTGACAGGAAAGGCAGCTGCAGACACGTCCCGATTTCTCTTGCAGTTTTCAGTTTGGGTTAATGAGATCCCAGCAGGCTGAAGCGCACTCCCCCCTCCCTCTGGCTGGTGCCTGCCTTTGTTGTGCACAATGAAACCACCAGTTAAGCATTTCTGCACGAGCAAAATAAGTATTGTGTGCAACTGGCAGTGACCTAATGCTGGCTGGGGGGGGGCGGGGGCGGGGGGCGGACAGCATTACAGCTGGAATTGCTCTGGAGCTTCAAAAGGTATCTGGCTTGCGGGAGCTGGGAGATGACCGTGGCCATCACAGCTCTTGTATTGGGTGGCTTTTTGTTTGTTTGATACGAAGTAAATAAAAAAAAACCCAAACCAAACCTCATAGACACGCACTGAAGCTTCCAGATGACTGATTCTTGTCCAGTATTGCTCTGTCCTTGGCTGTTAAATCTTTGTGACTTTGCAGAAGCTGCTGTAGCCACTGTGACCCCGGTCCTGCCTGCTGCTGAGAAAGGCCTCCCCTCCCCTCCTGGAGGGGCCAAGGCTGCTTTTGGCTGCTGCTGCAGAGAGCAGGGCATTGCTTTGGGGTATTTTTGTCTTGCTTTAGAAGGGCTTGTGTTTCTGTAGTCGCAGTGTTTTTTCTCAGCAAGGTAGTTAACTGGCTGGTTCTGAAGCTCTAAGCAGTCGGCCTTCAGAGAACAGGGTAGAGCAGAGGCTGTTGCAAAGGGAGCCTGTTTATTGTTGAGCCAGTCTGCGTGAGACGTTCAGTTATGGCTGTGGTATAGAAGTGGTACAGGTAGGCAATAGCTTACTGAGAGAGAATGGGGAGGGGGAAAGGAAAAAAAAGAAAAACCCCACCAAAGTGTCTTTACAAGTTTTGAATTTCACGTTATCACATAGTAACCATTTTGCTAAATACAAGCATATTTTCAGTCACATACAGACAGCTAAATACAGCGGTATTTTCACATTTCAGTACAGTGCATAACAGAAAGCGAAGGGAGTGTACAGTTTGCTTTTATTTGGGAGGTTCTGAGCAATTGCAATCTAACATGCAGATTGTTTTTAACATGTGGCAGAGACCACAGAAAGTTAGCTTTTTCTTTTTTTTTTTCTTTTTGTCCTAGAGTAAAAGAGCTCCTGACCATTATCCTGTGAAAGGTATAACTTTCTGATTTCTCTAAATCTCTCTTGCACTAAAAGTCAAAGCATTAAAACCAGTTGTTAGAAAAGAATTCTTAACATATCCTATAAGTTCTTCATGTTAGAAAAAACATTCCAGTTTTTGTACAGATGAATCTACATTTCCTATATTTTAATAAGCTCTCTAGAAAATGCAAGGAATTAGAAAAAGATGTATATAATGATTTCTCTATCATTTAATATAACCGTTTATTACCTCTAAGTAGTTAAGACTTCATACATTTTCTTCTGTACTGTTCCTCTTTAGAATTACACTTGTATTTTTCAACTGAAGATGTACTCTGAAGGTCTGCATGCGCTTACTTATTTTGGCTTTCTGGAATTTCTCTCTGGGAGCAGTAAAGGGAATGTCCAAAACCTATTAAATAAAATAGTGGTTGTTTCTTGAGAAGTGACCTTTCCCTTCCTGGCCAGGTTCCTGCATGGAGAATTACAGAATTTTACTATTGCTAAAATGCTGTTTGACCCACTTCCTGACTGCTGTTCATGTAGCCCTCCAGTTCTGCCCCTGAGCACAGCTGCTACGCTCAGCTAGTGAACACCTCGCCAACAGCCAGACCCTGACACACCCAAGTGGTTCCTTGGTGAACTTCCCATTCCAAGAATGAAGCCACCCTCCCTACCCTCTCCCTGGAAGTGTTCAAGGCCAGGCTGGATGAGGCTTTGAGCAACCTGGTCTAGTGGAAGGTGTCCCTGCTCATGGCAGGGGGGGTTGGAACTGGATGAGCTTTAAGGTCCCTTCCAACCCAAACCAGTCTGGGATTCTACGACACTGACTCTTTCATGCTCGTTTGTCCTTCCTTGCCTTTGTGAAAACAGGACTAACAGACAAAGCAAAGCTTGTGCTCTCCACTGGCGTCAGCCCATGAGAGCCCATGGTGCTCTCTGCATCACTCTTCTCCAGCTTTGCTCACCTAGAAAGAGATTTTGTAAAGGGATTTTGGGGGTTGTTTTTTTTTTTTTTTGTTTAAAGTCTTCAGGGTACTCAACTCAACCACCGTGGAATCTGCCTGGAACTCACTGGGCTTTAGCACAAGGTTTTTGATGTGTTTATAGCCTATTTGAGAGTGAGCAGGGGTCCTCAGCGCAGTGACAAGCTGGCTTGAAAGGTGCTGGACCCTTGCCACCCCTCCCTTCCTCTCATTTGCTACCAGTGCCCTCCCAGCAGCTGCAACACCGCTGCTCCCTGCAGAGCCCAGGCACTGCAGTTGTTCCTAGAACACTGAAAATAAAAAGCTTACTCGATTTCAAGGTTTTGGTTGTTGGTTTGTTTTTCTGTTGTTGGTTTTGGGTTTGGTTTTTTTAACACCCTTAATAGGGAAGTCACAGGTTTTATTCTTTGTCCAGACTTGCTCACATGCTGCAAACTGTGAGAACAGGTTCAAAGGGAGAAATAGTCTGAACTCAACAGCAATCACGACCCACACTGTTACAGGTGGGGTTGCTTAAAAAGCTGTAACAAATATTTTCTTCTTCTCTACTTAGAGGCCTAAAGTCAAACACCAGATGCTTCCTGTGTTTTTTTTACCTAATCCCTCCCTCCTGCCCATTAGTTTGGTGTATAAAGCTTGCAAACTTGAGTAAAAAAAAAAAAGGTCACTAGTTTGTTTGTTTGCTTTTAATAGGCTGTACTTCCCTGGTTTGCTACAGCAGCACAGTTACCCTCCCTGCTGCGCTTCAAAAGCTTAAGTTAAAACTTAGTGGAAGGAAAGCTCAAGTGGTCAATGGCATTCCCAGAAAATGCCCACCTACATACAGCTTTTCTAACACAGTGACCACCCCCTGATGACCAACCTGAGCCAGATCCTCTTTTGTCAAATTAAAACATGGAGGAAAACCACATTTACTCTTGAGCTTGTCATGTGGATTTCCTTTCCACCTGCTCAGACACTTCTGCTGTGCTCCACCTTCCCAGTGCTAGTTCTCCCACAGATGCCAAGAAAGAAAATTACCCTTAACAGCAGAAAGTACTGATGGAAGCTGTTGCTTTCCATGCTATCTAACTTCCTTAAAAGCAAATCTCACCTTTTAGGATGTCTGATGCACCTGAGTTAAGCTTTTCAAGTTTTTTATTTTGTTGGGGTATTGTTTTCTTTCCCCCCCCATCCTTTCCATTCCACCTTTTGAGCTGGCTGGTAAGATACCCAAAAGGTCAGCACAGTCCTGTTAACAAGACAGAAAGGTTGGTGTGTCCCACCTGGCTGCAACACCCCAGCCTTAAGCTATAATGTATGAGGCCATGGTTCTCTCTTTATGCTCTTGATCACTTAATTCTATTGGAAAGCCCTGAACTCAGGGTACTTCCAAGGTACTCACTTAGGCAGTAAGTGCGTAACAATGCATTGAACAGTTACTACAGGAGCAGGAGCTGCCACTCAGAATCCCAGTTCAGCACAGCAAGAAAAGCACTATTGGGGAAGGGGGGGAATAATTTAAATTTAAATTAGTAATCAAGTAACTACTGTTTTTAAATCCCACAGAATATTTTTTTTGCTATTGAACTAGGTTCAAGAACATAAGGAAGAAAATTCAGACGTGTGCATACCATGTCAGTAACTTTTCCTCATGAGGAAACAGTATCTGCGCTGCCTTTACACCTTCCTGGTAATAAACAGCTGCCACAAGCACAGCTGCCCTCTTTCCTTCTCTCTGTCTGCCCATTGCTCATACTGCTGAAGTGTCCATACTGCGGCTTCAATGCACAGCACGGAGCCATGGGTTTACTTACAAGAGGACACGTACAGTGCCCTGGGATGTGCCAGCCCCTTCAGCTCTCTGTATTCTCTCTCCTGTCTTGCGCAGCCCCTCATTTCTGCTTCTTGTCTCCTTACAACATCTACATGCACCCTCACTCTCCATTAGGCTTGTAGCCCCCAGTTCTGAAAGGGTATTTGGAACAGAACATTTCTTTCTGGGGTCTGTTCTGGTGTCCAAAACAACGTGGGAGGCTGTTCACAGGGGGAGTGTTGCTCTCCCTTCTGTCACACTGAGTTCACTTAGTCAAGTACGTTTGGTTAGTAGAGTTCATCACCTCACTAGAAGAGCTCAGCACAAGCACCGCCTATCTGATTTCACCACTTCTTCTGAAGAGTGCACTACATTTGGGACAAACCCGCTCTTTACCCCTTCCCATCCCTCCTGGATTGAAATTTCCCCCCTTTTAACAAGCTCGTATATGTCTCGAGTCAGATCTGTGAAGGCCTTCTCCACGTTAATGGCGTCCCGAGCCGAGGTCTCAATGTACTTCATACCATAGGCAGCAGCCAGCTTCTCAGCTTCGTGCCTGGTGACTTGCCGCTGTGTGTCAAGGTCACACTTGTGACCTACCAAAACAAAGACGATCTGGTATGGCTGCCCCTTTTAACAAGCTCGTATATGTCTCGAGTCAGATCTGTGAAGGCCTTCTCCACGTTAATGGCGTCCCGAGCCGAGGTCTCAATGTACTTCATACCATAGGCAGCAGCCAGCTTCTCAGCTTCGTGCCTGGTGACTTGCCGCTGTGTGTCAAGGTCACACTTGTGACCTACCAAAACAAAGACGATCTGGTATGGCTGGACGTGCACCTTGGTCTCTTCTAGCCACTCATGGACGTTCTGGAAGGACCTGCGGTTTGTAATATCAAAGAGGAGGAGTCCGCCAACCGAGTTCCTGTAGTAGGCTCTGGTGATGGACCTGGAAACGAATGAGCCACAACAGAAGTGTAAGTTACAGCCCTTTGGGAAGAAGGGCAGAGTGTTTCACCTGGGCTTTTGTTTGGTTGGTTTTGTCTTCTGTTTTTCTTTTTTTTTTTTTTTCTTCCCTTAAGACAAACATAGCCCTTCAGAACATACACCTTTAAAAAGCAGGATTACCCCACAGAATACAGGGCAGAGAAGACCATTCAGGCAATGTCTTATCACTTTTAGCTTGTGCTCTGCAGAGCTTGTCATTCAAAAAGATAACTAATCTTGGCTGAAAGACTTCATCCTCAGGTAACTGCCCCACTGACTTATGACAGCTCTGTTCAAAATCCCCACCACCATTTTCGGTGTCTGTTTTCCACCCCAGATGTCTGTATGCCCTTTGCTGTTAGTCGGAAGAGTCCTGTCCCCCACCATGTAGGTTCTCTGAGTCTAACCCAGTTCTCTCATTGTCTAACCCAATGATTTAGAAGCCCTGTCACAAATTACAGGATTTATTTGAAACCAAAACCACTCACTCTCTGACAGACACATAAAAGGAAGCTACAAATGTGGAAGGCAGACCATGGGGTTGTAGCTCCCCTCCATACACCCAGAGCTTCGGCACAGGGACATCCACCGACCCGGCTGCTTTCTCCCACTACAGCACTGGGCAAAATGATGGCAGGCACAGTTACAGCTAACGCACAGGTCACAGCTAACGCACAGGTTACAGCTAAGGCACTAAGGGAGCAGCCAGGCTGCCCTCCTGGTAACAGCAAAGCGATACAACAGCTTCCTAGGAGGATCTGCATTCTTCTGGTCTTGTTCCTGCTTTTGAATACTGACAACTTTAAACAGGAACCAAAAACCCCCCCTAGCCTCTGCCTGAGAAGTGGAACGCATCTTCCCCAACTCTTCCGAGCAAGGAGAGACTTCAACTTGAGGACATGAAATGGGCTAACGCAGGGCGATGGAGCGAAGCTGAGACCACGAGGCTGAGCAGAGCTGCTGTTCAGTGACCACTGCACATGGAAAAACCAAGAACCTGTCAAACTGGGGTGTTTCTGCAAAGTCATGGATTCGTTCTAGACCCAGAACCAATGACCAATTTCAGTCCCTGGAGGCGTTCACACTCAGGCCTGAACTTTCCTTGCCAGGAAAATGTAAGCACTGCTGCACTTTCACCTGGGGATAAGTCCTTTTTTGGACACACAAGACTCTTGCTAGGGGCTATTGGTTCTGTAGTGTGTGTATCTAGCAAAAGGATGAACTGGTGTCTTCAAGCACTGCTTTATCAACAGACATGCAGTGATGTGTGAAAATCCACAGCCAAAACTGAAGAAAACCAGAAGAGGGGGAAAAAAGGATAGTTGGCTGCATTGGATAATTTCTCCTCTCCCAATTATCTGGCTGAGGGACAACAGTAGCTCTGCACATTTGGCACTGAGGGAATTAGATCTGCCTTTTGCTATCCAGCCAGCTGCAAAGAGACAGTGGTGCTTGGAATTAACCTCCCCCCCCCGACTGTCACAGGCATTTCTGCTTCTTCCTTGTGTTTGGTGCATCAGCCCTGGCTCCTCCTGCCAACATCACCAATGCCTCAGGTACCTGGAAAAGACATGACAGGATCTCAGCTGAACGCTGCTTTGAGGTAAAACTAGGTGAAGGTCTCAGTGCCTTTTCTGAAAGCCTTTTCCACAGACTTTTCCTCGGACCTGCAGGAAGGAAATGCCATTGCCTTCACGCTGTCTGCCACTCTCCAGTTCCCTTCCAAGACTCCCACCATCCCTCCTCCTGCCCTGCTCACACATGCTCGTGCAGAGCAGTTCAGATATTGCCACCTATTTTGGTCAATAAAGATACTGCCTCTGCTTGGCAACCCTCCCCTGCTCCGTACCCACGGTGGGGACTCTTGTACCCAGGGTCCATGGCTCTTTGTTTCAGCCTTTCCCTCCCAGCCGAGGGAGAGCTGCTGGCTGGAAGGAAGCAGCTCTTCTGTAGGTGGTGGTACGCAGTTCCAGGGACCAAGGGCTGCACATGCTTTTGCTTTTGTGAGCCATTACACAACAGCACATTTCAGACAAGGAAATCGCAGTATCTGAGCAACCAGAGATGGGCAAAACCTGCTGGGTCCTGGAAGAATTGGACCCTGCTCTTCTACATCTCCAAAGCAGCCTTAACACTGTCCGAGGCAGCACGTTTTGGGGCTTGATCTGGCAAAACAGAATGGCACATACTTAACCGTAATTTAAGCCTTGACTGCATGGAAATTGCTTCTAATTTATAGTGAGTGAACGAGCTCACAACAGGGGTCAGGAAGAGAAACGCGGCACAGCTGCAGACAGAGAATGCCAACAAGGTGTCTACAAAATAACTACATTGGTTTCTTCCTTGTGGGGCAAACGATAAACTACACAAAGCAGCCTGGAAATGCTCAAATCAAGAGAATTCTGTGAAAAAGCAGAGCTCATTCTTACAAAATTCCTTCTTAAGAAAGTCCCTGTGCTACGATAAAAGAGTTCAAGGGTTCTGGAGAGCACCTGTACCATCGTGCTTCTTACCTATGCCCTTAAGTCTGAGAAGCTTCAGCTTATTCCAGTAACAGCTACATCTTGACTTTAGCCAAGAAAAATAGCTTGCAGGAGGAGCCCAAGAGCTGCTGTTTTTATGGGGCACAATTTGTCACAGGGTTAATGGTGACTTGAAAGGGACAAACACAAACCAGACTTTTTTTACCTGGTGTTTTTCATACTTCAGAGTGCACCATAAAGGCACCTGGGTTTGCTTACTTCTCTAGCTGCTCACGTTGGGAACTGAAGCCTGCGCTTTGGCAAGGGCATTTCAAAGCTGCACAATGTGTTTTTTTATGTCACTCACTGTTCCTGCCCCTTACACTCTTCCTGCCTGTGAATGCTGCTGCCCATCGCAGCAGCACAGCCTGCCCTTGCGCTGAAGGTCGCCTGCTCATCATGCTGACAACCCGAGCGCCAGTCCGGGTCAACCACCAGCACTGAGGGCAAGCAGCCTCCAGGGTCCCAACTTCCGAACGCGTAAAAGAAAGGAAATTGAAGCCATTCAACAGCTTTTGCCCTTCACAGTAAAGGCAGAAGCAGAATATGGCACCCAGGCGTGTTTTCTACAGCCCTCAGCCCGAGATGCAAAGCTGGAAGCTGATGCAACTGCAAGCTAAAGCACCTCCTCTCTCAGCAGAATAAAGCGCCGGCTCCTCACCCTGAAAGGCTGCGAGGTAGCAGAAGAAAAACCCGCCAGTGGATAAGGGCCGACTACTGCACATCCTGGGCCAGACGCCAGCAACACAAGATGCGAAGGAAGGCGGTGAGAGGGGTGGGAATAGGGGAGGTTTCATCTATAAAACATTCCTCGGGCGAGGCATTACAGCACAGAAGCAGAAGCTGTGTGAAGCTGCGCAGAGACATGGAGTGCAGAAAGTGCTCCCAGAGGGAGCAGGATGAAAGGACTGACGAGGATTAAAGATGCATTAAAAATATAAGCAAATGGGAGGCAGGGAGCTGAGGGTACGCTCACACCCCTTCCAAAGGAGCACTGTCTGAGCAGCACGCGTCCTGGGACAACACCAGCCCCCTGCTCAGCTGGGCCTGAGCCTGCTCCAACCGTGACTGTTGTTTTTATCACACAGTTCTGTGGGAAACTCTTGGCACAGTCCCACATCCCGCCTTTATTTTTCCTCACGGAGTCTTCGTTACTATCACTTAACCTCTCAGGCTGCTTGTGCCCACGCAGGGCGCAGCGTGGGCCTCTCCAGAAAGCACCTGTCACCCCTGCACAGCCAAAGGTTTGTCCCGGCCTTTCTCCATCCTACGCACAGCTGATCGCTGCTGGCGCTGCAGAGAACCAAACCACATCTTCTATCACACTTCGCGAGCCTGAACGTCAGGGTGTTCAGCCATGAAACACCCCGGTTACCGCCGCTGCACCAACAGGGAGCAGCTGCTTCCCCTGCCGAGCTGCATCCTCTGATGGCGCCGAGAAACCCTCTACCTGCCCGGCACAAACCC